ATTGAAGAGAGATGTCTCGAATGGGAAAATTGCATTGGAGTTTGCACTGACGGCGCTGCCTGTCTTACAGGTAGAAATTCAGGTTTGGTCACTAAAATTAAGGATATGGCGGGCAATAACTTAGTGTCAACACATTGCTACATTCATAGGCAAAACCTGGCCTCCAAAAAAATGGCACCTGAGCTTACTGAAGTCCTTTCTCAATCTGTTAAGATTATTAATTATATAAAAACAGTGCTTTGAATACAAGACTATTAAAAGCATTGTGCGATGAAATGGGCTCTGATCATCAAAATCTTCTTTTCCATTTGGAAGTTCGTTGGTTGTCCCGCAAAGGTATTTACAAGTAAATTTGTTGGGACTGGGCCCTCGTCTTATAAAAAGAGAACTTACTGGGCGGCGGTCTCATACAGGTTGAGAACTACTGCCTTAAAGGACTCATTTCCATGTTGCAAGAACCAAATTCAATTTTGTCTCATACCTTCAAATTATTTCCTTGGGGCAGTGAATTGAAAGACATCTAAATGAAAGTGGTCACTGCTAAACAGTCAGGCCATTGCTAAATTTACTCAAAGAGTAAAAGGTTAAGAACACTACAAGATGTCAAGACATTGCCACAGTACAGTAAGAAACAAAGTTGTCCCTATGCTTAATTAGTTAAGCACTATGCCCTGAAAACATGTGGTCTGTAGGTATGGATTCACCTTTCTTCACCTCAGCACTAAATGGAGGTGAGCCCTGGCCGCTTCACAGCCCGGGAAAAGATCCTCCAGTACCCACTAGATAGGAGGCTGGGTAGACCACACCATATCTCAGGTGGTTAGGCGCTGACTTCCCATTGTGGCGGCCCAGGTCTGGTCAAGTGGGATTTGTGGTGGACAAAGTGGTGCTGGGGCGGGTTTTCTCTGAATACTTCAGTTTCCCCTGCCAATCTTCATTCCACCAAATTCTCCATCATCATAATCACCCGGGGCAGGCTACAATAGGCCAATCAGTGGCTGCTGTGCTGAGTGGACCCAGTTGGACTCCACCCCCCACTAAGCAAAAATCAGAAGGCTGGGTGGGCCCTAGAATTAGTCTGAACACTCAGAAAAGAAAAATCTTACACTGTGAAGAATCAAACCCAGGCCATCAAGCTTAGCCCATCGCTCTACCAACTCCTGCCATGGCACAATGCAAAGCAACAAACACAGACATCTAGGATAACATAAAATTGCTTAATGCCAAGATTGTTATTCTAAGTGTTAGGGTTATATCCCAGTTGTTTTACACTTAGAAAGTGATATTTCTTACAAACCAAAAAAAGTTGTTATGACTGTGCTCTTAGAGGTTTTCTTAGAACTGAGGGCAAAAGAGGAAAGGTCTGGCAATATGAGACAGCCACATAATTCACTTATGCTGGACTGTGAATACTCACTGATGTATAGGCAAATATCATAGTAGTCCAGTTCCAGAACATACACTTGAACACAGTGGATGTTCAAGAGTTGATACTCTTTCAGACCTCGATATAACAGAAATGATACAAGACCAGGGGCTCTCTACTATGGATGCTACAACTCTTCAGACAATGGAAAGATTTAAGACAAACATCCAAAGGGCAGGAATACATTCTACTGCTTATGAAATGATGACTCTTCAGACTGCTCAGGAAAATGTAAGCTCCCCACTATGTATGCGTTGATGTTTCTTCAGAAAACTCTGCTCCCTAAATGACTTATTACACACATCACAGGAAAATGGCCTCTCCCCACTATGAATGCGTTGATGCTTCTTCAGATCACTTCTCCGAGTGAATGACTTAATACATACATTGCAGGAAAATGGTCGCTCCAGGCTATGTATCTTATGATGTTTTTTTAGATCACTGTTATTACTGAATGATTTAGTACATGAAATGCATGAAAATGGCCGCTCCTCATTATGTATCAGTTGATGTCTCTTCAGATGTTTCTGCCAACTGAATGATTCACTACATACACTGCAGGAAAATGGTTGCTCCCCGCTGTGTAGGCGCTGATGGTTCTTCAAATCAGTTTGCCAACTGAACGATTTCTTACATACATCACAGATATATGGCCACTTTCCACTATGTATGCGTTGATGTCTCTTCAAATCGCTTTGCCAACCGAATGATTTATTGCATTTATCACAGGAAAATGGCCTCTCACAACTATGTATGCTCTCATGTCTCTTCAGATCACTTTGCCGACTGAATGCTTTATTACATACTACACAGGAAAATGGCTGCTTCTCACTATGAATATTTTGATGTCTCCTCAGATCAGTTTGTCGACTGAATGATTTATTACATATACCACATGAAAATGGCTGCTCCCCAGTATGTATGAGTTGATGCTTCTTCAGATCACTTTTCCGACTGAATGACTTCATACATATATTGCAGGAAAATGGCCGCTCCACCTTATGTATTTTTAGATGTTTCTTCAGCTCACCATTAGTACTGAATGATTCATTACACACAACACAGGAAAATAGGCGCTCTCCACTATGCATGTGTTTATGTCTCAAGAGATGACTCTGATTGCTGAATGATTTATTACACATATCACAGGGAAACGGTGCTTCCCAACTATGTATGAGTTGATGGGTCTTCATATTACTCTCCTGCCCAAATGATTTGTTGCACACTTCACAGGAAAATGGCCGCTCCTCACTATGTATGAGTTCATGTTTCTTAAGATTACTCTTCGTTATGAATGACCTCTTACATACATTACAGGGAAATGGCCGCTCCTCACTATGTGTGAGATAATGTGTCTTCAGAACACTCTTCTGTCTGAATGACTTATTACATACACTGCATGAAAATGGCCGCTCTCCAGTATGTATGCTTTTATGTTTCTTCAGTTGACTCTTCTTAACGAATGACTTATTACACACATCGCAGAGAAACGGATGCATAGGAAAGTGTTCATTCTGAGAACTCTGCCAAAAAAAAAAAAAGGAAAAGAAAAATATTAGGCTAAATACTGTATCATAGCATCAAGTTGTGTTGCATTTCCAATTGTATTCATTTCTGTCAGCACAATTATTTATACAGATACAAAATATGTTAAATACCCTGTTACACATCTCAGCCTTTCAGCCATCATCAGGTATACACATTCACTGCTGGCTCCACCTCTCACCCCTTACAATGGCCAGTGTTTTAGGGGTACAGTTTGTGTTGTCAGTTTGACATACTGGGTGGTATACCCTTGAGCCAAAGAGTGAATGTGCAAACCCGATGATGGCTGAAAGGCCGAAACACATATTATATAATTAACATACAGTGTATCTATTCTAAATCTTAATAGGAGGAAGAATGAGCCAGAATGCAAGGTATAAATGACAAATATTAAATTCCAAGAATTTTGTTCTTCATCAAATCCTGTTACGCAACCAGAAATTCAGGGCACAGTATGTAGTAAAGTTATTAGCCTATATTCCTCTATTTCAGAGTGGCAGAATGAAGAATGTGTTGGAAATTTTCCTTCGGCAATTAACTAAGGAAAAGATTTACCTGAATGTGTGTGATTTTTAGACTTTGTCTACACACATAATCCAGACATTTTGGAGATGTGAATTCAGTTTGCTTTTCTACAAAACACTAAACATGATGGTCATATCATTATATAGAATCTGTTACATCAGCTTACCAACCAACCAACCAACCAACCGACCGACTCCACTGAGCTAAGTCATTTTTGACAATCCAATAGTTGCTCATGTACTCAAAAATTACCTAACATTTTATAGAACCCAAATGTTCAGTACTATATTAACCACAGCCTAACATGAGCCAGATGACTTCAGTCTATACACTCCCATCCAATTTTCTAACATATATTTCAATACTATCCTCCCATCTGTGTCTAGACCTTCCCAGTGGTCTTTTCCTTCTGATTGTCCAACAAAAATCATGTGTACAGTCGTCTTCCATCTGATGCATGCTACATGCCCTGCACATTATATTCTCTTTGACCTGATCATGCTAATTATATTTTGCGAAGAGTACGTGGGAACCTCCCACAGTCAAACAGGCAGCTTAAGTACCATAGTATAGCAAGCGCAGGTGATATTTATACACTGTAGCTTGCAATCTGGCTGTCTGTATTGTCACACAAGCGCTACCCAATCACCGATCACCATAGAAGCTCCAACGCCCATTCGTTAGCTCGCTGCCCAGCGGCAAGAGTATAAAGATGCTGGCCTCCGACATGCTAGCCTGCAACGAAGGGAGTCTCCACCGGTATTATTCAGACACGCTTCCTGCTCAGCTGTAATACCCGCTCTGAGAGCAGTAAAGATTTGTTGTTATAGTTTTATGTGGTTGTCTCTACCAGCATTGACATCCCACAAGTATAAGTTATGAAGCCGTCATCATGCAGTTTCCTCCAGCCTCCTACTATTTCATCCGTCTTCAGTACAAATATTCTCCCCAGCACTGTGTTCTCAGACACTCTGGGTCTACGTTCTTCCCTTCTTGTCAGAGACCAAGTTCCACGTACAAAACTACAGGAAAAATCAGAGTCCTGTATATTTTAATCTTCACATTTTCAGATACAAGAGAAGAGAGAAAAGGTTCTGAACCAAATGGTTGAAAACATTACCCAGATTCAATTTGTTCTGAATTTCCTCATATATGAAATTCTGCATGCACACGTGCCAACACCCACGAACGCGCACGCACACACACACATGCGCAAAGAAAATTTCATGAATGATTCCACATCCAGTATTTTCTTTATAATTTACTTCAAGAAAGAACCAAATGCATGAAGCTTGAAACTGTGGTCTTCTGGGTGTACGCATTACTTCCATCTTCATTACTAAACTTGTATCCACCTACTACACTACAACATCCTATCATAACCCAGTACATCACAATGTGAACTGCCACCAAGAAACTTTGTTCATGTGACCTATCAGCAAAGAATAATTGAAATGAGTTTATATAACATAATGATGAAGAGGATGGAGCTTGGACTTAAATAACTAAAAACTACATTTTTATCAAGTTTTGTATGCAGGGTCAGCAGTATCTATAGAATATGAGGGTGTTACTTAGAATTCTTTGGTAGTTTAGCACTCACTGGTATTCTTATGTGAATCAGAACAAAGGCAAACACCCTCGTTACCATATCAATCAGTGTCACTTGGGTCCATGACCTTACTCTGAACACAGCCTTGCTGCAATTTTATGCACAGTTCTGTATGAAGTATGGTCTTGATTACAATAATTAAAAAAAAATGATGCTAAAAATAATTTAAAACTTCCAAAATATTGAGTCCTTTGATCCTACTACTAAACTTTATTACTTTATGATAACTAGAATTTTGAGAGAAGACATTCAAAACTATCAAGGACAAGTTGCTTTAGAAAAAGTGGCATAACGATTGCCCTAATTGAGATACAGAGCTCATTTTGTGCTCACTCCATGGCTAATAAAGTGCCCTTTCCAGTGACCTACTACACCAATATATATTTTGCACAGTTATGTTTTCAAGGTTTTCAAATCTGACTTTTGACCTAGTATTTCTCAAAATGTGGTATTTTAATTTCATTGAAAAAAATATGTGAGAATGTAAATACTGTTTCAAACACTCAGTGTGTAATAAGGAGGTAGGAGTGGTCGCACCAGTACCTTTTCTTTGTGTCCTCTACTGTTCTCTTGGGTCCTAGTCATTTTCCTTTCAGGAAATCCTTCTTGGGGTGTCTCTTATCAAATGGATGACATCCCTACACTGCTGGCAGCCCTCACCACTCACAGCCTTGCTGGTGGTCTGGCAGTGACTTTCTCGGCCTCTAATTCCAGCTGAAGGCCTTGTCCAGTGTCCTCTCACCACCCATGAGGAAGGAGAACTTCACCTCTTGGTCCCTTATCCTGTAGATAAATTCACAAAATGTTTCCCTCTGGATGGAGTACAGGGGTAGCCCAACAAGAGCCCACTGCTCAGTGATGGCAGCAGACTCTTACAGCCACTCACTGAACAGCTGGGTCCTAGCTTTCAGGGGGGAGTGATACACCGTCAGAAGTTGGTGGTTCCCATAGCAGCCTTTGCTTCTGTGGGCATGTTATGTAGGACATCAATGGTCTGTCCCTGCAGGACAGCCAACAGGTGTGTCATGGCTTTCCCCCAGCCTTTCCAGATGTTGTGCTCTACCAGCAGCTTCGTGGTGTGTATGTCAGTCTCCGTTCCTTCAATCAAGTAAAGCTCTCTGTGGAGATACTGAATCCACTTACTGACAGAAGCCCTCATCACTTGGACATCCAGCTGTCTCTTCAATCTGACTGTTGAATTCCTTGTGAAGGCTCTGGATTCACTGGTCAACAGATGCCAGGATGCCCGTCATGCATTTGTTGATGGTCTCTTCAAATTCAGAGTGGATGGAGTTGACTGTAGCTTTCATCTCTTCCTGGTTGACTTCCATGGTGGCCCTCAGACTTTCTTGTTTTGAGTTTATAGTGGCCTCCATCCTTTCCTGTTTGGCGCTTGTGGCTTTAATATCAGATCTTACCTGTTCTTGGTTGACCTGTATTTCCCATATGGCAGTTATCTTTAGTTCCATGTCCCTCATGATAAGCTGTCCTGTCAGTTCCAAGACAGCACTTCTAACACCAGTTACCACAGGTTAGTGACCAGACACAGGGTTCAGACTGATGAATGCATGTACTGGATGTTTATTACCTGTAACTACAGAGACTTACAACACTCTTACTATTCTTCATGACCTACAAATAACTACAGCATTTCCCACATCATTCTACTGTGTCACGTCTCCTCATACTCGTTGCTTGGTTATGGATTTTAACAATGGAGACTCACTGTAATGCTTCCATGCTCAGTGGCTCCTGTCCTCAATGACACCTCTACAATTGCTTTCATTCTGGTTTTGGTTTCAGGTTTTGTGTAAACTGGTGCTGGCCTTTGTCAGCACAGTCATTCTTGGTTCCCATGACCATATTTCTCCAGCTCAGTACTTTGAATGAGTTGTGAGACTCGACTCTTCCATTCTGGTTGGTTGGTCAGGTAAACTAAGGCCAGCCCTCACCAGAACAGTCATTCTTTGTCATAATTCCCATAGGACTCATGACCACAGTTTACTGCCTGACTTGGGAGTCATATCTTGTCTCACTGTCTCTCCTTATATAGCTTACATGTGGAATAATTTTTGTGTGCACGCTCGTTGCCACAGACATATGTTTAAACATGCTTCCTTTTGCTCCAAAATTCTGGCTTTCAGGTGTCAAGTCACATTATGTAATATTTCTTACCAGGCATTACTCTACTTAATTAGTTACTGTTACAGAAATGTTTTATAGCTTCAACAGCAACTAGATTTAAGTTTGGCCTGGTTTGGGATTAGGTCCATGGTTCAGAACGAGCTGGTCTGCTCTTCAAATCATATGGTCACATGTATTTGAGATAACTTCTTGAACTTTCTAAATACTCCTTCTCTTAGAAAGAATAGTTAAAATTGCCACCTTCAAAGTCTGTGAAGTGGCTGATTCTTCAAATGTTTCCTTCAACTGTTTTAAAATCTCAGCATCAGAGGACTGAGAAGCTAAACCTGAACTGGCATTTTTAGGAACATTAAGAATGTATATTTTCATAGCATTTTCAATTTTTTTCATTCTCTTTCTATAGANGTAAATATATACACATTATGGATACAAATCAGTGCAACAGGACGCTAAAATACAACATTATGAACTTACCCTTGCTTAGTCTATTCTTTCTAATGTGTGATTCACCAGTCGATTGCAGACCACCATTTAAGGATTGTATTGCACTTATCTGGGCAAACTGCTCAATCTCATCATTATCACTGCCATCATCTGTGTTTATTTGTTGCTTCACACTTAGCTTTGAAATCTTCTTATAACACTTTCCACATACTTTATGAACACTATTTAACAATGAAAGTTCGTTCTTCCAAGGAAGTACGTTCCTTAAGTCGTTTCTGATATTATTGTGCCCACTTTCATCAAATGGGTTACAGCACAAAGCGTTGGTAATAAGAGATAAAATTTACAACATGTGAATACCTCAAAGGCCAAAAGGAGACTGGGATGTACAGTTTTCAGGCCAGACAGCCTGAACCACATAATCCCTGCTCAGCCCTGCCCATACTGAATGGCTCATATCCATCAGCTAAATACTAAAGGATGCAAGTCAGGCATGTTTGGCCCTGACCAACATGTATGACCAATTTAATTCATTCTCAGTATATGTATTGTTTGTTGTAGTAATTCAAAATATTTCTTCATCCTTTTTTTCAAAGACCTGATAACCTGTCATGGGGCACACTGGTACTCTTTACAGCAAAGGTCTTCATTCTGAAGGAAATCACTGTTACACTTCAAGACAATGCTGGTGTATTTTAATATGCCGTCAAATTACACAATCAACAATTTGGTTGTAAAATCTATTATCATAAAAGCATCAGGCAATGAAAAGATACAAATGACCGCAATGTTGACAGAAATGACAAACAGCACGAAACTGCTACTCTAAGTGATAATCAACTGAGAAACTATGCCTAAGGGGAAGCTACCTATGGTGTTAATAATCATGTCCCGAGCTGTAGGATGGAGCAGGAGACCAAGAGCGAAAGTAAAGTTGTCCCTGTGCTTAACTAATTGTCATGAAGGCGTATGGGGGAGTGGATGTATAGATCCACATTTTCTTAACCTCGGCACTAGCTGGAAGTGAGTGGTCAGCTTCATGCCCCAGCCGCTTTACTACCAGGGAAAGAGCCCCCAGTACCCACTGAATAGGAGGTAGGTCTGGATGACATGGAGAAAAAATTCTTGACTCTAGGGGGACTCGAACTCCAACCCCTTGGCCATCCAGCCCATAGCTAGTTGCTATACTGACTGTGCTATCCAAGGAGACCAAGAATACCATTGAGAAAACAAGGAAAGCTTGGGCTGAATGCACTTACAGGTCATTTCACACTTGAGGTCAGATCTGTGATTCATGTGATGAATACTACTGATCTTGTAATCGTAGTTGGACTTCATAACAACACGATTCATTGAATAAGTTCTTTTAAGGTCCATTTTGAATCAACTGTATTGTGACATGATGCCTGAATGCCACAACAGTGGAGGCACAGCCAGGAGCCCATTGCTAGATAACGTCTTGGTAATCATGTTTCCACAGCAATAAACCTCCAAAGCACAGTAACAGTGAAGAATGCGATAACTCTACTGTTGAAGGAGGTGATCTCCACATGGTTTGACCAGAACCTACCTCAGGGAGAGAACTGACCAACAGAAGACAGAATACAACAGAACGAAGAAGACATCAGAAGAAGTCAGAAGTCAGATACCAGATCCGATGTGATGGATGGAACAGAGGATGAGGAAGAAATTGGGAATTTTGGCA